TTTTTTTTTTTGTCAATGACAGGCAATTTCAGTTTTCTTTAATTACGGAGGCTGAGGTTTGACTGACTCCACCCTTATAAGTCAACCGTTTTATTACCTCTGGCCCAGGTGCCTGAGGGTGACAAGATGTGCCTTTATTTGGAGGGCTGACAAGGTTATCAGCAACTGCACTGGGGCTGCAGCTTTGGGCAGTGGTCACCAAAATGCTTCCCTGGCCATTGATCCATTTCCTAACTCTTTGTTGGTAGTTAATTTTGATCCAGAGACCAGCGCTGGTTTTCCTCTTGTTCGGCATTCCCTCACCTTAGCACTTCTGTGGTCAGCTGGCTATCATGGTCACAAACTGTAAATTGCAACCGTGAGCCAATCCCATAGCATGAGATGAAATCCCAACCTGGGCCTCAAACATTCAACACACAGAATCTTTTAATAGCCTCCGGCCGGGTAGGTTTGCAGTGGGTACAAGTTGCTTTTTCAGAGTTGACAGTAAAATCTTTCATCTGTGACAGTACAGATCCAAAATAATCAAATCGTATTCCTTTACTTTCTCTGGTTCCTTTGGAAAAGTAGAATGCCACCCACACCAGGAGGCAGTGCAGTGCTTGTTTCAGACAAAAATTTCTAGTGCTTGACCTGCAGTTCCATAATACATTTCTACTCACTCATTAGTCTGCTCTGATCCAAGCCATGTTACATGAATTACTTCAGTTACCTTTTACATTGGAATGTGGTATAAAAACGAGTCTTGTCAAAATGATTTTCAAACTGTGTGTGCCATTCTTCTGCCCCATTTGTGGAAGGCTCTGCCTTGAGCATTGAGAATACTGGAGACTCAAACTCCTTTGCCCCAGCTCATGACGCAGTGATTCCACACCTGGAGAGGCAAGTCAAGGAGACCTCAGACTGCTGGATGCAGACGTGATTCTAGTGCCCGACCTATAGCTGGAAGAATAAAGCCGGGTATAAACGCTTTTACTCCAAGAACCTTCCACTGTCATTTCTCAGTCTCACCATCTCCATAGTGAACCTGCCCAGGGCTGAAACCCTCAGGTGAGACAGTGGCACATTCATTTAGCAAATGAAGATCCCTTGCAGATAAACTTTCAGGCCAGTGTCCTGAGCTGCATCAAGTTAGCACAGCATCCAGCCTGGACTGGCACAGAACCATCCTCCACAACTGGCATGGTACCATCCTCTACAATTGGCACAGTACCAATTATGGTGGGCCGAGAAAAATGTCAGTTTTACACATTTTGCTGTGAAGTCAGACGATAGCTTGCATGTAGGGGATAAGAATGGGGAAGAGTGATGGAAAGGATGAGTCAAAAAGGAATCCCTGCAACCTTGCAAATATGAAATGTTTGTCTATAGAGCACATCAGACCACCCCATTCTGTAATTTATAAGGACCTTGTGGGAAGGTCCTTCAACCTTGTGGGAAGAGGCCAGTTAAAATTCCTACTAGCACCCCTACAACCATTACAACAAAAAATCTAGAAAAGAATGTTTCTGAATACAGCATGTGAAACACACACAGTAATAAATCCATAAATATCCAGAACTCCAACATGGTCAAGGAAAGAGAGACAGGGTCAGAAGTACTACCAAATATGATCTTACATTCCTCTTTGCCTTAAATGTATAGAAACCTTGACCACCCAGAATATCAAGCCTAATACCACCCCATCACCACCCATCCACCACCCTCTATGTGGGCTTGGTTGGGACACAGCTCCATCCAGGACCTGAGATGCTTCTGAAGGAGGAAGTAGGATGTGGGGGAAGGGCAGGGGGTGTGACCTGAAGGAGTGGGTGGACTTCATCTCTTCCTCTGCAATTCTGAAAGCCATTGGCCAAAACCTGACGTTGAAACTATGTGCGGGGTGACTGGTCTACCTCTTCCTGCAGACAGGTTAGAGAACAAGATTAAGGGGCGCTGCCCCATTCCCTGGGTGTTTCGTGTGTGTTAGCTTACTACAATCCAAGAAGTTCTGAATTCCAAGCACATTGAACCAAGTGATTCAGACAAGGGCTTTTGGATGCAGGCATTGCTCTCGTGCAGAGGAGAATCTTAAGGACAGAAGTCTAAGGCAGCTCTTTCAAAGTTAAGTAAGGAGGCTTGGCTGGGAAGAACCCAGGTTCCGAATGGACTCCACCCTGGACGATGTGTGCAACTCAAATTCTGCAGCCCTCTTGCCACTTCAGGAGTTAGTATTAGAGGTGGAGCACCCAGCTTCTTTAAACACAGGGAATGAGGATGACGGTAGGGTGGGAGGAGTAAATTGATACTGAACGCAGGCCTGGGCAGTGTCCTAGGTTATTCTTGCTTACTTTTGGCAAGCAATAAAAACCCAGCTGTGAAGTGGAATTTTAAAATGCAGTCTTGTACTAACTGTAAAGGTTGATTTGACTACTGAACTCATGTTTGCAGCATGCTGTGAACAGAAAAAGCCCTCGGGGACACCTGGACAGGTTCTTCTCTGGATCTGTGTCCTCCTCTGTCAGGGACACAGTTGGGTAATGAGGTGTCATTTTAAAGCACTGATTCTGTCATTTGAGAGTCGGTAAGGGGCTGGTGTGGGCTAACAAAATCACTATTCCACAACTTAACCCAGATAGTTTTTCCTTTAAAAAGGGGGGTTTCTGGGAGGAAAAAGGAAAGGAATAGAATGAATAATTAACTGCCTAACTGCACAGACCAGGCCCTCCTGTGGCCTCCCACATGCCCTGCTCTCCAAACCCAGGTAATTATTCCTCATCATGCCGAAACCAACAGGAAGGAACGGTGGATGCATTTTCTTTCTTCTTTACTTCCCCACACATCCTGTTTTCCTAGGTTTGGGGGTTTGAGTTTGCCTTGTAAAAAAGCTTCTGCTCCAGATTAAGCCCTCCCTCCAGGCCCTCTGTCCATAGGGCAGCAGTATCAGGCTGCTTTGATAGGCCTGCCATCTCTCCCAAGCCCAGAAAGTTTACCCGTGAGCAGATGTTTCTGATAAACCCAGCCTGAAGTTTCACTTAGGGCTTAGCGTGACCAGACTGTCATTAAACAGGACGTTCCCTGGTTTGTACACAAGACACTCACTGCACAGCCATTTTCTTGAGGGAGACAAGTTGGCAGTAAGTGTCCGATACCCAGCTCCCATCTAGAAACCAGCTGCTACTTCATACAGCCTCAACGTAGGTACCTGTGAGTTCTACTTTGTTTACCAGACACACAGCGACACGGCAGGAGAGTCCTGTTCAGTTGTATGATTCCATTCCAGACTTTTCCTTGTATTCCAGGCTCCAGGTCCCCTTGTGCATGTGATACAAATTCTCCTGAAATAAGATCAGGAGGTAAAGTGAGTTCTTGGCCCTCAGATACCCATCCTGTGCAAGCAGACAGAGCACAGAAAGTCAAAGAATAATGCATGACAGGAACTAAGGAGAAGGAAAGCAGCTGCACTGGAAAAGGGCAGTTAGCATTCCAGGTCCATCATACATGCCAGTGAGTAAAGCCAAGCAGAGAGGATGGAAACGGTTAAGTGGATAATCCACAGGACCAACTAGTTTCAGCTGACGTTAGGTTGGGCTTTCACATGTTAAAAGTTAACCAATCACAATTGCACTTGGCCAGCTCTTGGCCAATGCCAAACAGAAGTGGGCACAGGTGATAGGAAATTCTATTGCAAAAGCCAAGGTCACAGAGAAGGCCCATATTCAGCCTACTTCTACCCTGGTGACCTCCTTTTCTGAATATTAGTCCATTTTTCTTTTTCTCCAGAAAGTCTCCTCCCATCCCTATTCATTCCTTCCTGTAACATGTATTTACCATGGTACTACTACATTTCATGCATGCTCTAAGTACTGCAGTCATCATGAATAAAGCAGGCAACAATGCCTGCCCTTGTGATTCTTATATCCTTAAGCAATTCCATTCTCTCACTCTGGTTGGGGAAAAAAAACTCACCCAACAGAGAATATAGGAAGGTGTTACTGAGAAGTGACATTTGAAAGAAATGAAAGCTGGTTGATGAGAAGCTTAAAAGGAAATCTTCCTTCCTTGCTCCTCGCACCATCCCTACCCCAGGCCTTCTCGGCATGCTGTCTTTCAACAAGACCCAGTCTGCACAACCCGAGGAGCTGGTAGACCAGCTGCCCAAACAGGAAACCTTATATAATTCTGTAACCCTGACCTTGGGCCCTGAATTTTCCCCTCCTGTAAACAGTCCATTCAACCCAGGAAGACCTACAGACCTGTCTGGGACAAATTTTGAAAAACACGGTGTTACAAACATTGAAAAAAAAATCCCTAAGACCTAGAGGAAGTGCTATATCTGATTCAGTGGTAAAAATCACTTCATAAAGTAATAGAACAAATGGAAATTTAATCCTAACAGATGAAACTGCCAGAGCAGTCACTGTGTACACGGATGACTCAGTACCACCTGTTGAAAGGGGGGGGCGGGGGATGAACCATGAAATCCTGATCACATTCCCTACTGGAAGCTAGGGCCCCGCCTTGCAAATTAGTAAACCCATGTTCTCAACATCCTGACTTGAGGATGTTGTGCCTATTCTAAGAAGGCCATGACTCACCTTAGCTATTGGTCAAGTGATTCTTACTCAGAACCCTGCGTTTTTAATTTTCAGTATGGTCTAGGCAAAGGCTAGCGAAATGTCTACTTTCAAGATGCTCCTTTGAAATGATTGATTTCAGGCAACAACTGGTTTTATATATGGTGACCTTCAATTTCTAATATCATTTAACTTTTTGCCAAGCTTCATTAAACATCCACATTAGAAGTTTTAGACCTCATCCTCTGGACCTCAGCCTTCTAAAATGACTTTCCTCCAAACATCACTTAACTTCCTTTAATCTAGTTAATTAATGGAACTTTCTGAAGAAAACAGTTACTTCGATCTGAACCTCTTTCTTAGTTTCTAGTTAACTTTTCCAGAGAGGGAGAAAGAACAGAAACCCTCCCACCCAGCTGGAGTTAGCAGCAGCTCACAACTGCAGTCATTTCTCCAAATCAGAGACAGCTCAGAGGAAGGAGAACCTACGAGAAAGAAGACTGGTTAAAAATATTGCCCTTGGCATTTTTGTGGGTGTTTGCCCCACACAGAGATAAAAGAGCTAAGGTGGGGCTACAAGGGTGCTCTCCGCTATCGAGTTTGTAGTCTGGAAATCCTAGGTAATCCTTGCATAAGGCTAACCGTTGGCCAGCAGTGTGAATTAGAAATGCTTCTTCCTGAGAAATGTTGCTGCATTGAACATACAAATTCAGGTAAAAATTAAAAATGGAAAATGCAAGTCCCACCCAGCCAGAATCCTCAGCTTCATGGCTATTAACCCTCACTACTATCCGCCTAACCAAATGACTACAGCAGTTCTTGCTCTTCAACTTAACCCACTCTAACAAAAAATGTTTCCATAGCTGCTGCTTTAAAGACCAAAACAATATTACCCAGCGAGGGTAATATTTCTGTTAAGATTATAAAAGCAAGAGGCCTGAGTCTTGAAAGACAAGACCAGCAAAGGCGTCAACCCCTTTCCATAGTGTGTTACCTTGGAGCCAAACAGCCAGTTTCAAGGTACATCGCTGGTGTTCCGAGTTTGGCCACAAGAGGGCGCTAGAGAGCAGGGCTGCCGGCGGCAATGCAGTACCTGGTTTTCTCGGATTTTGAGTTGGCGTGGGGGTGTTGTGTGTGCAGACGGTGGGGGAGATGCAGCCGACTTTTAAAAAAACCATTTGTTCTCTGAAAGTATACCACTTGCCAATTTGTAAGGCAAGATTGCCACGTTACCTGTTGCCAGGTTCCCGAGAGTGCTCCGGGAATATGTGGGCGAGCAAAGCACAGCACAGCCCTTCAGCGTGACGGTTTTCAAGCCCTTTTGACTGGTGGGTGCTGACATTTGGAGAGCAGCTGCCGAGGACTGCGGAGCATTGTTTGGTTGTAGTTGTAACAGAGGAGTGGCTGCATGTTACATCATTTCCAGGCATGAAGTGCCTGGGGCTTTTTTTTCTTTCTTTTTTAATGACTAACTTTCTGATCCGTCCCTCCTCCCCTGGATTTTGGTACAGTACATGCACTGTGCCCGACAGCCTTACCTCAGGAAGCCCAAGTTTTGTAGCAACTTGTTAAAACTTGGGTGCCTCTTAAAAAAAAAAAAAAAGCTGGTACTCTGAAACAAACCTTTCCATTCTTCCTTGTGAGAACAATGTTGTGTTTGATCAGCAGCAGAGCTCTGCTCCCTGAAAGATCTGTTCTCCCCACAAGAGACAGGCTGCTATCAGCTGAATAGATCTCTAAGCTAGACATGCCCAGGCTTGGTGCATTTGTCTGGCATTAGGAAGTGTCTGGAATACTAGCGACTACCAACTGGCGAGCCTTATGACTACAAGAGTTATTACAGCGCCCCTCCCTCTCTGTCCACATTCCCTCTCCTCCCACTACAGGCTCACACAAGCATGCTTTTTTCTACTTCCACGGAGGAAAGGTCAGCTAGTCTTTGTGGTTTCACGTAGCTAGGTCCCTGGAGCCCAAACTCAGAGAGAGACAAGGCTAGAAGCCCCCAACTCCACCTCAACAGTCATCTGATGCCACCTTCTCACCGAAGGCTGGCTCAGCACAGACCACTGACCACCACACTTTGGGTGGCCTGTAAATGTTAAGCTGTAAATATTTTGCAACAAGGGAGTGATTTTTCCATGTGTGTTTTGTTTTGTGGGAGACTCTCCTTTTTTGCAGTATTTTAAAGTGTCAGCTGATGCACACCCCTTCTTCACCACTCCAAATTCATCCATTCTCTGACCCTTTGACAAGATCCTGTAGGGCGCAAAGTCCTGTGCTCGCAGCAGTTTTCCTGGCAGTTTCTCATGGAAAACACTGTGCTTCACTGGACAGGGTGTTTAATGGAAGGTTTAATGGGCAGTTGAATACAAGTGGTTTGGGTGAATAAAAACAGTCCTGAGCGTGCTAACTGTACCTCTTACTTTGACTTGGAGAAGTCATGTACCGGCTCTGAGCCTCAGTCTTACCATCAAGCAAATAGGGATAGTGAGCTCTTCCTGTCATGAGACTGTGTCTATTAAATAAATTCCTAGCACAGTGTGTTTCAGGGTAAGGATTCACTCTGTGCTGGTTAGCTTCATCTGGTGCCTGTTGAGAATCTGCACTTATTCTCCATCCCATCGTCTTTGTTATTACCTAGGTTTGTGCTTTTATCCTGTGAAGGATGGGGGCCAGACCCAATTTGTCTGGCATTCGGTGGGCCATCCAGTCTGGGCCACGCACCATCACAGTGAGCACGGCCTCCACAACTGGTTGTATGCTCAGCCTTTCTGGACCTACATGACTAACAGCAGTGGCAGCCAGCATCTCTGTTAACAGTTTGTCCTCATCCATGCCAAAATGTGTTCCCAGTATGCCAGAACATTCATAACTGCTACCAAACTGCCTGTTGGTAACTCTCCCTGGCCTTCTATCTTGGCCTCTTTCTTCAGCTGTTAGCTTCACTCTCATTGGGTCTTTCATTCTCAAATGATTTCCTAGATTTTATTCAAATTCATAAAGCCACAGGAGCTCCAGTTTGAAAGATGTCTTGTCACTTACTTCAGGCCTCTGTCAGATAGTGGTGCAATTTTAATAACTTCCCAGCCCAAAGATGACCTGGTCTGTGCTCAAACACCTCCAGGGACTAAGAGCCCACTACTCACTAAGAGCTCAAGGTGCCCACATGCCATCTCTGGACAACTGATCGCTAGAGAACTATTCTTTATGCCTCTCTGAGCTTTTACCTTTGTGATTTCCTTTGGGGCTACATATTAGAACCAGTCCATGCTATCCTCTATACAATAGCCTTCGGAATAATCAGAAATCCCTGTCTTCCTCCTCCTGCAAACTAAACATCCTCTCTCCTTAAACCACTCCTCACTAGATAGGGGTTTTCTCTCCCTGGAGCACCCTGTGATTTCCCCTTAAAGACAAGGTTCCAGAATGAAATGCAGCACAAGAATCCTTCCATTTTTCTAGACCTCACACCTGCTCACTAACATATGCCCTCTTAGAAATAGGCAGCTTACCTGAGTTAAAGGCACAAGTCCACTGTTCCCATCCCAAATCTGTGCAGTAGTCCCAGTATGTCCCCAGTTTCAGTCCTTCCACCATTCCTTTTCTTCCTCTGGCCTCTTCATATCCTTTTGCTTTCTAAAGTATCCTGTAGTTTCAAGTTACCTCTCTAATATGTTCTCAGTCTCACATGCACTATCTCTGACCTGCCTGCTGTATTTGCAAATGTTCTGTATCAGTGCTTCTCAGACTATCTCTGGCAATGCATCAGTCTGCTTGTTTGATGTCCGATCTGTTGCAGATCAATATTTTGCTAAAATGTAATAAAAACGAATTACTAGAAAAAGGAAATTAAAAAACAAAGGCACACAGAACACAGGCCTTGGGTTTTCTATTTTTGTTAGGATCAACCAACAAAACACTCTAGAGTTGCTATAAACGTTTCTAAAAGCTCTCTCGATTTTCCAGGCACTAGGCACTTAACAGTTTGTGAATGGACACAGCTCCCTCTGGCCTGCAAGCTGAATAGCACCACTCAATGCAGAGTTGTGCTAGAAATGCTAAACAACCACCTCCCTGGGAGGCCATCTACTGATTTACAACATTTGCCAGTTTGTGTGGTTTAACACTCACACTGAGGTCAGTTTCAACTATCAGTGAAACATTACTGAACATAGACTTGAAAGATTTGCATAATTATTAGCAAGCTGATAAGAACCAGTTCCAGCTCTTAATGCTGTTTGATTCATTTTATCTCCTTTGTAATAATAAAGCACTTACTTTTGAGGACTGTTCAACTGGCCATCTCTACCAAATCACCCAAATCAGGAGACCTTTGTCCTCAACAGAAACAAATAGTGGGTTGAGGCGGCCCTTCTCTCTTGTGGTCTTCAGCCCAGGAAGAGCTGACCATCTGATACAACTCTCAGTGCATGCCAGACTGCTTTGACCATGAATTCTGTGCAGAAGCCTGCAATCACTGAAGGCAGATCAAATCACAGCTTGCTTGGCAGTTAAGAACAACATAGGGTAACTTACTTACATTAAGAAGCTGTTATGAGACTTCTGTACAACTCTAAGTATATGTGTATTTGGAGTGCTTTTGTTGTCCTTTTGCATTTTTATTTGTAGTTTCTTATGGGCTTGGTCTCGTATTAGAAAGCGTTTCTAAATTTTAGTAACCAGGAACTGCTAAGTAACCCTCAGCATAGTTTCATCATATGTGACCCACTGGCTTAGCCAGTGAGAAAGTACTAATAAGCCACAAAAGTAGGTTTGATCCTACGTCTGGTTTGTGGCCTCCTAATGCAAGTGTGCTCCTGATAATAAAGGATAAGCAGAATAGTAGGAGTCTACAAGTTTCTCCAGAGCACCTTCACCACTACAGGAAAAAAAAGAATTCCTTCCTGAAGCTTCCAACATTAGCATTATCTTTCTATGCAAACCAAGACGATATTGAATAGCTAGACGCTGAAATAGGACAGAAATTTGTTCTCCTTTATTTTCTCTATAACTTTTTTTTCTAGTAATTTGTTAACTCAAATATAAAAACAAACTCTGGTCTTTCTATGCTCTGCAGGGTCATCTGCATGAAAGTGATGTCACTAAGATCTGGAATTCCACTCCTGCACACTCTGCTTATAAATGAACAGGAGTCCTTTCAGCCAGCTTTGAGCTGGGGTAGTATGTTTCAGGACCTTAAGAAGGAAAAAAAATAATTTTATTTGAAATGAACAAATAAACATATCAGGCAAAGGAAAGCAATACTAATACTTCAACTACGTCATGTCTTTTTTCAAGTTCCACTTGAATATAAGGAGCACTTGCCTTTTTTAATCAACCTTTTTGAGAATGTTACTCTTAAGTGAAACATTTCCCTTACTGTGTGGAAGCCACTCATTTTCTCTTCAATCTTGATTGGACAAGATCTATTCACTTGTGTTCCCCCTCCTTGCGTCTCACTTTACCACATGCCTCCTGGCACTCAGACCTGGGTGGATTCTAAGTCATTCATGGTGTGGAATCATGAGAGTAGAATTTTTAGAAGTAACAATAATCCTAGGAGAGTGGAAAGCACTTAGGGCTTAGCCTGCAAAGCTGAGAAGGAATGGTGCCAGGAAGAGCTGGCCAGCTCGGGGGCATGCGTTTCTGGAAGGGTCTCAAAGGAAGAAGGCATGAGAAGGAAGAAATCTTTAGAAAGCTGGTTAAGGAATTGTTCTCTACTGGCAGGAAGTCCCCACTTGGGAACTTAATCATTCTTTTTGATCTGTACTTCCTACGTAGGGCTCCACAAATGGGAAATCTGAAAAACAGTGTGTAAAGCTTCTTCAGGACCCTCAGGGTAATAATCAGATGGTCAGAGAAAGGGGCTTCAGCTGGGGCTGCAGGGGGACCTTGACAGAACTGCCCAGGCCCAAAAAGGACTCCTCAAGGCCCTGAAGGACAGGATTTTAGGGAGGCCATGCACACACACATCTGTAAAGTAGGGTGTATGTGTGTTTTACAACAAGAGACTGCTGGGCAATGCATTCCCTCTCAGACAGTTCTGCTCAGAAACAGCACTGCTCCTCAGATCAAAAATTATATAGTGAGCGCCTATCCAGCACAAGCAAGCAAGCAAAAGTCAGGAGGGAGGGAAGGGAAGGAGGAGGAACAGAGAAGATGGTGTTGATGGGAGCCCCTTGCAGGAAACTATGATAAAGTGCTGTGCGCCCTGCACACCCCTGGCTTGGTACTATTATTAGGATTAGAACACATGCTAACAACCACTTTGCTGTCCCTCTTTTTTTTCAATGTTCATCATCAACCACCAGAATCTTCTCCAGTGAATTACTTTGTTTCACGTTAGCTCTCTAATGTAGTGCTGAGAAGGCAGGGTCTACCCTGGCCTTACCCACATGCTGATCTCTCTCAGGAGATCAGCCTGGGAAGATTTCTATAGACAGCTAGTCCTGTCTATTTTATGTCAATTCATATTAATTTCTATTTCAGCAACTTCCATCTCAGAGGTTGGTGTTTTCCAGTCTTTTTCCCCCTCAATCTTTGTGCCAGTGTCACCCGCTAGGGGACCCAAAGATCCCACAAGGCAGGAATCTACAGACTTGCTCTCATGTTAAATGTCTCTGTGTGTCTCATGTGCCCTAATTTCCAATGGATGTCAGTTAAGTACAGAAACTAAGACTCAGGCAGAAATCACAGTGTCTTTGTTTTCACTGTCTTCCAGTGTCATCTTGCATTACAACATATAAGAAGACACCACCTCCAGTCCCACCCAGAACTACCACGAAACCTTTCATTTCTATCACAGCCCAGAGTAGCACAGAGTCTGCCCAGGATGCCTACATGGACGGCCAGGGCCAGCGAGGAGATATTATCAGCCAGTCTGGACTGAGCAACTCCACCGAGAGCCTGGACAGTATGAAGGCTCTGACGGCCGCCATCGAAGCCGCAAATGCCCAGATCCACGGCCCAGCAAGTCAACACGTGGGCAACAGCCCAGCCACTGTCACCACCACGACCACCATAGCCACTGTCACCACGGAGGACAGGAAGAAGGAGCACTTTAAGAAAAATCGATGCCTGTCTGTCGGGATACAGGTAACAGCTTCCCTTTCTGTCGTTTGCAATAGGCACCCAAAACTAAGGCACGTAACACTTCCATTTTTTCCAAAAACTTTGAGGTCTTGCCATTTTGGATCACATCGCTATGCACAGGACCAGGTGGTCAGGTTCTTGACTCTGGACTTCCTACATTGTTAAACGTGATTTTAAAACAATGATGAATATATCTTGTCTGTCGACATCATTAACAGTTTTATTTTTGTTCTCTAAACTGTATGTGTGACTCAAAATGTAGGGTAATGAAACACAAACACAATCAAACACAAAGTGCCCACAATCCTAAAGTGCAGTTTGATTCTCAAAAAAGAAGTGGCCCTCCAAGAATAACCTGGGTTATCAGGGTGTGTTACAGTATGTCAACACTACTGAGTAATCATACGAGAGCGAAAATGTGAATCGCTTCTCTGAGATGGAGGAGTGAAGGCCGGCAAGGCCGAAGTGGGTGACAGTGCAGGAAGCCACAGCTCATGTCACTGCGTCATGAGCAAAAGATGTGCGGCCGCTTTAGCATGATCGCTGGCTCTTAAGTCATGCATTTCAGAAAAAGGATAGATAATTCAACAGGCTTCTCAACTTTTTTCTGCTACTCAAAGATAAGATCAAATTGGTTCTTGTTTTTCACATCTGTTCTGCTTGGCTTATCCTGTTAGAAGTTTTCTTCTCTCAGTGGAGAAGACTCATTCTTTTCTTCCATTTTTGTTTTGCCATATCATTCAGGTGCCCTTTGAATAATAATGTCCTGACGTGGTGACCAGTAAATCTGTCCACACTGAACCAACTCTAAGGTACATCTTCAAGCCAGGCGTGGGGTGCATTTTCACATCAAGGATGTTTTTTCACAGTCCGTTCTGCAGAGTCCACTTTTAAAGGGCAATTAATTTCTCTCCAACAGCAATGAGTCAAATGCTTTTTTATAGTCTGCAAGTTACCATGGCACAAGATGTCAAGTTCCCTGAAAGCATTTATAGTGCTAGTGCTTGGGACCAGAAGACACAGCAGGAGGCGCGGGCTCAAAGCCAGCCTCCACCCCCACCCCATGTCCCCCTGGAAGTGACTTCTCCTCTTGCCACACAAAGGATTTGCAGAGTGGGGAAGAGCTGAGGTGGGTCCTCCGTGTTGTCCCAGGCAAATTACTTGATCTTCTTGAGCCTGACTCCTCATCTATCCCTCACAGGATTATTTTGAAGATTGAATTTACAAAACCCAGTTTCCTATGGGGTACAGAGTCTCAGTTCGGGATGAGGAGAAATTCTGGATACTGATGGTGGTGATAGGAGCGTGCAGTGTGAATGTACTTAGTGCCATTGGACTGTACATTTTAAAGGGGACAAAATGAAGAATTTTATGTACATTTTGCCACACACACAAAATCTACCTTCCTATCTGGCACATAGTTGGCACCCAGTAATGTTTCTTCTGTTTCCTTAAGATTCAATTTATGTTTTTCTTTACATTATTTTTCAATAGATAATATATTCCTGTGGCTCAAAATTCAAAAGTCATATAAAGATATGTGGTGACTAGCCTTCCTCCCATTTCTAGTCTCCTGCCAGCTCTCCTTTCTGGAGGAAATAAATATAACCAATAGTTGCATCTCCATACATATTGTGCATATTCAAGCAAATATGTACTTTATTTATTCCCTTTTTTAATTAAAGTATCATTGATATACAATCTTATGATGGTTTTACATGAACAACACTGTAGTTTCAACATTCACCCATATTATCAGGTCCTCCCCGCCTTTACCCACTATCTGCACAGTAAAGTCATTCCTTGTCTTCTCCATGCTGTATATTCCCTTCTTTTAGTCAGATGTTCACATTTTTCCCACACTATTCCACATCTTTCCTTTTTTCATTTAATAATGTTTTTTAAAGATAATTGTTTACTAGTCTTACTGCTCGTTTCATTTAAAAGCTTCTATATATCTATCTTAATCACCTCTCAAGTCTACTGGTTGGCCTGATAGGTTACTTCCCAAATAATTATTACTCAGAATACAGCATTCATATATGTGACATCAAAATTGTTTTTTTTCACCCAGTAAGATGAAGCTACTCTGAAACCCAACTATAATGTTGGGGAGAAAGCTTTTGTTTCAGAGAACATCCTGCTTCTTAAATATTTGTATGTTTTCATGAGCAAAAACTTTGCTTTTACTTGTCAATCACTGTTCACAGCCATAGAAATTCTGTGGGAGTTCTGAGCACTTCACCTAGTTGCCTCATTTACCTCCTATAACAAGCCTACGGCCTAGGTGCTGTTATTACCACCCTGCAGATGAGAACATGGAGAAGCTGAGCAAGGCCACACATTTTAGGCTGACATAGCCTGGATTGTACCCAGATGTCTAATGTGGCCATGCTGTGCTGTTTCCCTGATGAAGAATAATAAGTAAATAAAAATGCAAGATGCAAAGTGGACAGCAAACTTCATCACATTGTCATCAAATTTAAATCCTTATCCTCAAAATACATAGTACTAGGGTCCTGAACTCCTTCCCACCCTTTCTTTCTTTAGAGTCAGAGCTTCCAAGTCTTTTCCATCATTCTAAATTTAATCCATACCTAATCATTAATATTACAATCATTTACTCTGCTAACTTAGTTTGTGAACTTAGGTCAGTTACTAACAGCTCTCTTTCCTCATCTAGAAAATGACAGTCATAATAGTCACTATTTCATAGCGTACTTTACAGGTGGTAGTAAAAATTGACTGATATATATATATAGCTCTAGTCACAGTGCCTGGCATAATAAGGGCTTAAAAATATTTGATTTAGTTTTTATTATTAATATTGTCCTCCTTAAAAATCACGATTAACCAAATACGCTGAATTTTGGATAAGCCAAATTTTGTTACCTGCCAAGGGCTTTCTCAATTTATTCAAGACAGATATTTAATTATCCTGTAATTTCTTTAAAAATTTTAAAAGCAAATTCATAAATTTAAGTAGATTATGCTGTACACTGTATAAGAGACGTGAGATTTGTCCATCTGGATGAACAAGGGATAAAAGTCACAGCTAAATTGACATACAATGACTAAAGCTTAGAAATGACAACAAACATGGTGCAAATCAGCTGTGGGTTTGGAGAGGTGGGGTGAGGCTGGAACACAATACTGTGTTCCCTGTTGTCATCCTCAAGACCCTTGCTCCCTTCCTTCTTCCTGTCTCTGTGTGGTGAGGATGATGGTTCTTAGGGAAATATCTATCATGCATCTTTTGAAAAACGCTTCATTGGTTAGTTTTGATTCTACCCCTTGGTGTAAAGCTGCAACATTCTAGGCATTTTAATGTATATAAATGTAGCCAAAAGGAATCAGTGAGAAGCCCACTCAGGAAAACAGAATCCGTGCTTGTTTCTCAAATAGAGGCCATTTAATACACAAAATTGGTTCTGCAGGAATGGGAAGACTACGAGAGCTATGAAAGGATGCACGAAGCAGTTACCACTCCTAGCACTAGGGGACCAAAAGGGGAAAGATGGGGCTTCCAGAATGTAGGAGCTCAGAGGAGAGGCCCCAGTACTGCCAGCCTTAGACCACGGAATAGGTGTCGTCAGCTGGTGTTGGGATTTGAGCACAAGGCTGTGAGGCTGTCAGAGGAACTGGAGGCCAAGCCAGCTGTCCTTGCCTGCAGCAACACCAGCAGGTGGAAACAGGAAGGAAGTCCCTTCCGTTCCCCCACCTTCCTTTGTTAGAATATAACTGGAAGGTGGCCAGCAAGGAAGCCTGGGAGATGTAGTTTGCAGAGCCCTGGCCCCAGTACCACAGAGCAGATGGGCACAAAAGATGGGCTTGGAGCTGCTGGACAATAAGTTAAGTCACCAAAATGAGGTGCTTTGTCCAACAAATAAATAAAGACGCTGTTTCCCTCAATGAGTGTGGGTGTTTAAAAGCCTAAGATCAGCAGGGTGTATATGTAGTCTTGGTCATGTTCTTTTAGTGGGAACACCTCATGGCACTATATGTGACACTAGAATATTTAATGTAATATGGCTCTAAAACCCAACTATTTATCTGGTGCTCTTCTGGTGTTCTGAGGTAGGGTAGTGGGAAGAGAGTAACTGGTTGCTTTGGATTTAGAGTAGTTGTATGTCTTCTAAAAAGTCAAGGGTAATATTAACGGAAATTTTTTTCTTTAAAACTGCAAAATAAGCAATACATGCATATGGTATTGTTGCATCTAGTTTTGGTAAAAGATTTGTAAAGGATTCACACAATATGAAAGTATACAGAACAAAATATGAAATTCCCCTTTCTGTCTACCTCTAACTCCTACTTCCCTCCCCAAAACTAGCCACTAGCAAGTTAGTTATACCATCTTCTAGTCTACCAAAAGTGTAAACTACAGATGAATTTCACATAGTAATCCCTCCTCTACCTCCAGATATTAGATCGTGATTCTCTCTGTTACCATTTTACTCATGTTGCAAAACAACCAAAAAGAACTTTAAGCTTAATCTTTCACATTATGTAAAATGTGATTGCTTTCTCATTTTTTGAATTAAAAATAAAAGAAAATGAAGCTCTTTGAGATTGCAGTCCTAAGATTTACTTATTTCCTTTAACACCTGTCCAAGTTTACAAGATATATAATATGTCCTATGTAAAGAAGTAAGTCCAACTGCAAATGGCAAAACTTGTCTCTGCCACGTGGACCGAACTATTTTAGAACAATTAAAACCAAGTGAGTCATTACTATGATTTGAAAGAGGACTTTGAGAAATAAAAAGGTCACATTATCTCCGATTCATAATGCATTGACTTAAAACAATAAAGGAAAACGGAAGAACTCTCCTTGACCTCACTCTCGTCAGGCTGCTCTGAACTCTGTCCCCAGCCAGGTCTCATTTTTTGTACTTCTGTATGTATCTTTATCAAGAATCCTGCTAAGTCACTGTAGCCAGGATCTCCCACCCTCGATATTGGTCACCATCAATATAGGATGTCTGATCATGTTCTGCATC